GCCAGCAAGCTACCTTTTTGCTAGTTGTCCTGCACCTACAGCTTTGCTCCAGCTCCTGCTGTTTCAGCTGCTGTCAGGCTCGCCTTTGTTTGTTGTTTCATTTCAATTCGCCGAAACAAAGACTTAAAGTGCTCATTCACCTGATTTTCTGGTTTTAGTTTGCTGGCGACCCTCCCCCCCGCCACTGCGGTGGCGCAACACTCTTTGCTTTCAGCTCGGACCCAGGAGCAGCTAAAGCGTTCCCTCCCCGGCCATAGTTCGCATGTTTATTTAAACCAAAACCAAACGCCTGCCTGCCCTTTGTGCGTTGCTGTGTCTGGCTGTGGAATTGTTCAGATTAAATAGGCCTCCATTTAGCCGCGGCTTTTCCCCATTCGATTCGTTGATGATGGAGTTAAGTATGTGCATGACACACTTTTCACACTGGATAAACTTAGTTGAAGCGCCTGAAGTGGCATTGGGCTGGGCAGCAGCAGTAAGCCTTTAAATAAGCTCATTGATTGATGATCGGATTAAAGTTTGTTTTCAAATATTACATCTGACTTAATGTACGTTCTGATTTCAAGTGGGAATCGTGAATAATCCACAATCAGCGCATGGCAATGAGCCCTAAAGTAGTCTGATCCTGTGGCAGTGGTGGGTGGGGGGTGGGGGGAGTGCCATCTCAATCCGTTCACCTTGCTGGCTGCACATAAAAATCTCAAGGATTTTATGTGGAAAGCAATAAATTTGAGCATAGCTCACACAACGTTACTTCCGCTATTTATGGCCGTTGCCAGCAACAGTTTCCATATGCTGGCTGGGCATATGCTGGCCCCTCCACCCGATCACCCGATAGCACCATGCCACGCAGCCATTTTCAATATCCTTTAGCCGCCCCCAGACCCTCGCATCGCTGTTTTATTTATTGAAATATTCGCGTAGCTCTTGCAAAAGTTTTAAGCCATTTCGATTGTGTCCTTGAAGCGCAAGGCGCTGGGCGCTGGGTGCGAAGGCGCCTTCGCATTGTTTCCTTTTGGCCCGTAGGCGGAGACGCATGACAAGGCCAAAGTCCTTGACCCCCGGCTGGGAGGGAAATATTCCCATTCGAGTGTAGCCACATCCAGACAAATTGTCGTAAAAACTCAGCAATAATCGTCAGCATCAAGTCAGTCGATTGGGTACCCAAGCCCAAGCCCAAGTCAACCCCACCCCGACCCCAACAAATATTGCATTCACTTTGGCCTAATAGAGAAATCGCCGTAAATTCTGTTGCCACTCATTGTGCAGATCTGGGCACGTCTGTGTGGCAGCTATTGATATATTTGGCCGGCAAAGAAATCACGTATTGGCCATGTTGCAGGGCAGGACAGGACAGGACAGAACAGGACGTATGTTTACGGCTGCATCTTGAAACTCTTTAAACCATAAATAGCCAAAGAACTTTCTCATTTAGCTGTTGGCCATAAAAGTAAGACCCCACCCATCGCGAACGGGGTTGTAGTTATCTATTGCCAAATTTTCCACACGTTTCTGGATATTTACGATGCCTCTCACAGGACACACTCGTCAGCAAAAGTGTGCAGCAATTGTGGGGCACTAAAAGTGTTCTCTCTCATTCGTTAGTTGGGGCAAAGTCTTTCTCTCTTTATATTTTGGAAGAGCTTTGCATACCTGCTGCTGGCTTTTGGCAATTTGTGGAAGAGTGTAATTGAAATGGGCGCCGTTCGCAACACGAATTCAATTGAAAATGCAAACAAATCAGAAAGCGGCAGAGGCACGACATTAGCGCTGCTTCTGCTGCTGCTGCTACTTCCTGCCCCCAACGCCAAAAGCTGCCCAAATGGCATGAAACTATGTCGATGGCCGTTGTCACTGTCGATGATGTCGGCATGGTCTGAGGATGGGGCTGGTGCTGGGGCTGGGGCTTAACCTCGGTCTGGTACTAAAGCCGAGTCTGAGTCTTGCCGGAAGCCAAACGCAAAACATTTCTAATTTCAGTCCTGATGTTGATGAATGGCAATGGACAAGAGCAGGTGGCAAGAGCAGTGGCGGCCACGTTCACGTCCACGGAAGCGGCTAAAATGCGACAACAAGCTTGGTGGACAGCCAGACAGACAGGCAGACATACAGCGGGAGAGACGCACAAATAGATGTGGACACGGAAGCGGCGACGATGGGTAGCTAAATGTCAATTGTCGGGGGGCAAAACTTTGCCCAATGGGAATGGGAAATAGGAGTGTGGGAACCGAGACCATCATTTGTCCAGGACGCCTCGCGGTGACATGCTGTAGATACGTCAGCGCGGGACCTCAGCACTGGGGAATGGATCGATGGGTGGTAACGGTGGGGCGGAGGTATGGTGAGTTGTCTTGAAAATTTCGCATGGCTTTGGCACGCATTGTTGGCGGCTTGTTATGGATTCGGTGTGTGGCGCGTGTTCAGCTGTTGTATATCCTATACCGGTAGAGATATCCGAGAATACCCGGGGAACAAAATCCATGAGTTTGTCAGCAGCAATTACCGTTGATCTCGAGTGTTTTTTATCGCCGCGTGTCCTGTCCTGTCCTGTCTCGTTGTTATGACATCGGTTGGCACGTATTCCCACGTCCAAGTCATCGCATTCAATTTGCTTGATTTTATTTCCGCTTCCTTTTTGCACTGCTGCCCTGTGCTGCCATTGCGCCCATAACGGCGGCTGGCAGCTAAAAGGACGAATAATGGCAGCGAAACTCTGGTCATTCGATAGTCGATTTCCATTTGGATTTCGTGTCCTTCCCCCCCCCCAAAAAAAAAAAAACGTATCTTTGATTTCTCTCGTTGCTGCTGCTGCAACTGCAGCTTAAGTGTGCAATTTGATTTGATTTTTGCCCAATTTTTGAACAGGTCCTTGAGGCCCACAGCCAACCATTGCGCCATGCCCCCCACCCAAACTCAGCCCAGCCCAGCCCACACTTCTGTACGACCTTGTTTGGCACTAAAACTGCCACAAAATTGACATTTTGTTTAATATTCTCGAGTGTGTTTTGTGCTGTGTTTTTCGTTGCCTGCAGCGAAAATGCTGGAACTGGAACTGCTCCTAGTTCTGGTGCTGGTACTGGTACTGGTACTGAGGATACTGTCAGTGCAGGCAGGGCAGCCAGGATGTGGGCCGTTGTGTCGATTGTGTTTGTGTTTGTGCAGCAGCAGGATATGAATTGCCGGGCGATTGGCGTAGAATTGCATTCGAAACTGTGCCACGTGGCCAATCGTTGTTAGGGGGGCTGGGGCTATGCACTCTCCCGATACCATTTTGGGATACCCAACGATTGTTGTTAGTGAAAAAACTGTCAGTGTGTAATGCAATACAATTTGACCCGAATGCATGTTATCGTGTTAAATATTTTAGCATGTGCATAAAGTGGCATAAATCAATCATGCTTAACCCATTAATGTCGGTTCGAATCGGCGCTGAAATTAAATCTGATCAAATGTGGAAAGAACTGCTGCCTACACATCCATATGGCATGTCCCTGTTTCAGCCAGACTCACTTAGCAGTCGTCGCCTTATTAGTCCAACAATCTTCGCTTTTGGGAGGAGCACACGCAATGACCTGCGTTTAGTCCTTGGACAAGATGACAACCAATGTCTGAGGACACTTTCGGGGACATATTCGTGTGGGTCGGGTCGGGTCGGTCGATTTTGCTTTCACTTTCAGCTGTCGTACCGCCTCCAGTCCATGAAAGAAGAGACATTACACAAAACAAAAAATAAGAGAAAACTGGCAGCTTAAATATGGCGGCAGGATTCCATTGTCAGCGCCTCCGAAATCCGCAACTATTTCATTTCATTTAATTTGATTTATTTGCTGTATTTTTATTCTGTTTCGGTTTTTGCCTCTGTTCGTGGGCTTCCCCACTCAATTTTTGCTGTGGAATGCAGCTTAGGAACGCCCCCATTCGGAAGCAGACCTCCTTGGGGCACATAATGAAAACACAAATCCAAATTCGGTCCTTGAGATATGCTCTAGCGCCACGTCCTTGAGCCATAAAGCCTACACACAGCATGAATGGCAAGGGGGCGGAGGCGGAGGCGTTTTGTGTGTGTTAACAACAAATGGGAGAAAAAGTATAATTTCTAGCCCCACCATTAAAGCCATAAATTGAGGTAGTACCAGAGAAAAAAGGTCTCAGTGCCACATTGAAAAGAATTAGGAGTTCTAAGTTGAAGAGTTGCTTCTAATTATAATTTAATAGTTCACTCAAAAGATAAGCGGACAAATTATAGTTTATTCCCATGGAAAAGCGCTTAAACAATTTAGTTTGATTGAATATTTTCGTCCTGCTGCGACCTGTTTCTCTTTCAAGTTTATGAAGTGTGTGGCATTTTTTCCACATTTTTCAGGGCCCACAGAAAGAACCTTAAATTCCAAGCAAGTTTGCCCCCAGCTAAAGAAACTTTGAACGCATTTTTTTGTGGGATCTTCGTGGTCTTACTTGGGATATAAAATCAATGCCATCAAGCAACGGACAGACATACACCACACCACACAACTGACTTTCGGGCCGCTTAATAACATTACGCATACGCCACGTATGCACACATGAACAGCTTCAGCTTCAGCTACAGCATCGCCTGCTCTCCAATCTTTTGAAAGGTTTTCGGTTAAAATATTTTACATATTTTTAACGCACAAAGTATGTAATGTTGAATGCGAAGCCTGCCGGGTGCCCGGAGGCGAGCCTCTCTGTGTGTGCCGTGGCTGTGTTGCGGAAGGATTACTAGAGGGGGAAAACTGTAGGGTGAATCGGTAGTCATTGTTGGCTGGGTCATAAGAATTCCAGATAGTTGATTATTTCATTGTGCTTTAGTGTTGTCAGTCTATTGATTTCTTCAGCTACTTGAAATGCATGAAATATTTATAACTTTCAGTCATTTGGTTTGAATGAATACGAATAAAGGATTCGTATTATGATCAATTTAATCATCAGATTGAAAGATTTATGCCAACGATAAATAATAATTTGTTTATTTTATTAGTTCCCAAGCAACCCTTTTGTTTAACCTTAAATCAAAATGTTACAGAATTAGTTTAATTTGTTTATCTAACACACATAACACACAATTAACCTTTTTTGTTGTCATGGAAGAAACTGAAGACACCGAAGAAAATGTCGTGCAAGCCAGCTCGCGACGATCCACACTGACCACACGCTCACCACGTGCCACACAGTATCAGAAAACTATTGTAAAATATGAAATTCCCGTTATAAGTACACATTCAGAAGTGCAACTACGAAGACTATGTAAGCGTCACGAGTGTGACGAGAAGTTTATTGGTGACTTTGACAGCGGTGCATACGACAATGAAAATGTGTATATGCGCAGAGATAAAAATCCAGATGCACGCGATATCGATGATCAGAATCCCAGCTATACTAAATTCAAAAATCCCCTGTAAGATTCCTTAACATATCGTTAATTTAATATTTTCTAATTAAACATAATTTGGGTACAGGGAAGCGGAATGTTTTGCACGATATACGGAAACTGCAAGGAAGTATAATCGGCAATTTAGAAGGGAGATAAGGAAACTAATTGACTATCAGGGTTCCGCCCTCGAGGCAGCCTATCTGGTGCGGTGAGTCATGGTATCTATCCTTTTATACTTAAATTATTCTACATGTGCATTTTGTACTTCTTTATAGAGTGACAGCGTATACCACTTTGTGGCCACCTTATCACAATGAAACGGAAATATTCAGTACATGCCGAAAATTCTATCGTTTGACACCAAAAGAACAAAAGAGGCTCACACAAATTACTGGCATGCCGTATTCGAAACACTATTAGATCAAAATTAAAATCAAATATAATTCCATAAATATGAAAGTAAGCTGCTTCACTGATTACGGAGTCAAACTTGGGTTCCCCTTTTTTTTTTCTTACCAATTTATTGCTGTCCAACTGTCTGGTGGAGTCTCCAGTATTTATTGCATTAATATTCGTACTTCAGTGAAATGCAAAAGAAATAAACAAATTGCACAGACAAAGATCCCAGAGCACACAGACAGAACAGAGCGCATTGCAATGCAAAATGTCGCAAAGTTCTCGCCGAGTAGTAGACACCAAAAAAGAAAAACTTGAATATTTTTACAATTATAATTTATAGAATAGTTGGTAGTTTATTTGCCACACAGTCAAGAGTGGCGAGGAGCAGGCAAAGGAGTGGCAAAAAAACAGTAACATAAATTCAGGCACAGATACATTCACAAGTATTCACGGTATATTCGATCTGCATAAACAGTTTCCATTTCCTGGGAAAGTCATTTACATTGCAAGTATTGGGTGGAGATTCAACATGGTTTGGTTTTCTCTGCTTTTATGCAAAACTACGCATAACTTTCGGGGAGGAGTCACGGCGTCTGGGTTCCAACCCTGGGATTCATGGATCCATGGTCCGAGTCAACATCAACGCGACCACAATGCTGGCCGGTGCGCGGTGGTCAGTCTGTCATTTACATTAAATATTAACCCAAAATGTTGATAACTCGCACACATTACAAAGCGTGTCGGGGTCCTTTGAGAGCGGGGGACAAGGAAGAAGAAGAGCGGAAGTTGTATATAAAAAATAAAAATGAATTCCTTTTGGGGGGGTTTTATTTTCGGGTAAAATAACAAAAATAAAGCAGACAGTGAGAGAGAGAGAGAGAGAGAGAGAGAGAGGAAAAGAAGAAAGTCCCAAATTTTTCACTTCACTGAATTATTCATGAATGCAATTTTTAGCCACAAATAAAATATAAGCAAGCGAAGAAAAATCGTGGGTGTGGCATGCAGCAGGCACCAGGCACCACTACTGCAGCTGTGCCCCGTTGTGTCGTTCGCTGTCGCCTCAGACGACGGTGCAACATTTAGTGTAAATTAAAAGGGGAGAGGCAGAAGATGAAGTTGAAGGCAAACGAAATTGTGCATGAACTTTTGTGTGAATTATGAAGTCTGTTGTCACATTTGTGCCACAAATATTTGCAAATTTCCCCGTACTGTGCTTAATTTTGTGGAAATATTATATATATTTTTTTTGCGATAGAATTTGAAGACATATTTGATATATTTCCAATCGATGGGATTATTTAAAGCATGGCAGAGAAAATCTGTAACGAATCGTATTAAAAACATATCAATAGCCCTACGCCAAAGTGTTTTTCCCTAGAAACTTTTGGCTCGCTCAACAAAAAACTTTGTCATCGAGCATTTAGTTCGGTTTCACCCGCAACTTTTCAGTTTTGCGGCAAGTTGAAAATTTGAATTTCAAATCGGCCTGCAGATCGCTCTTACACCCACGCCACCCCTCTGGACTGATACCAACTTGTACTCAATGGAACCGGGCTGACAAATGACTTTCAGCCAGAACTGCAGTGGCAAAGTGTGCACCATGAATGACATTTCGGAGCCAAAAGTTTTGCAGGTGTTAAATACGTTTGCATTGGTGTCAGCAATCCATGGCGCGGGAGGGGCTGGGCATAAAAACAAACACGGAAATCATGCACAGCATAAGCACCCATCCGCCTCGAACTTCTTCTTTGGGGGGCATCAAACAACCCGCGAAGAGCCATTAAAATAATCGCTGCAATAACCGCATTTGGTACAATTTCCAGTAGTCTCCTCGCCGCTCTCTCTTTTGTCTTTAGTCTTTTACCTTTTGGAAGTCAACAGAGTGAGGAATGGGGGAATGCAGCAATGGTGATGGCGAAATTTGCATGCATAAGTTATGCGGAGTTTTGGGCTGTGGGACGAGCAGCAGCAAACGTAACATATTGACACAGTAAACTGCTTAGATTGTCAAAGTTCGAGTGGAGCTTTCGTTTGCGACCTGCATCCTTCTGCATCCTCTTGCATCCGCTGCATCCCGGCGGCAGTAAGCACTAAGCAGCGGCAGTTTAAGGTGCATTCAAGTTTTTGAGAGTGCGCGCAAACAGTTGATACAAAATCCTAAAGGGATTGCGTTGCATATTTCTATCTTTGGGTCGCTTTCCATACATTCTCTGCTCTGCTCTGCTCTACTCTGCCCTGCCATGTGTGTGTGTGTATTTGTGTGCCAAGCATATGCATTGAAGCCAAGTCAGCAGCATGTGTGTGCTTCTTGTAACTCTACTACTACAGCCAACACACACGCCACACACAGAGGCAATGTATCAGCCAGCAGTGAAAGAAAATCCATGCCGCTCGGTTTCTCTTTTTGCCATAATGCATCCTCGCTGGATTTTGTTCTTACTTTCGTGGGACCCGAGAGAGAGTGACAGAATGTTTGCCAGAAAAGCGCCATTTAATCCACTGATTTGAGGTGGTTCGTATTTGTCATTCACGAGAGCAAGCAATTGGCAGAGCGAAGCATGCGCAGAGCCAACCCAAGAGAGAGAGCGGAGAGCCTACTCTAAAATAATGGGATATTTCATGTTCTGGATATACTTGGATTAACGAGTATCAGGAACTCCCTTAAGGAATGCTAATCCCAATTAGTGGAGAGGTCTAAATCTATGTAGAGCATCCAACTGCAAAGATAAGTAATAGCTTACCGTTGCAACATAGTAATAAAATAAAACCTTATTTCGTGCTGTTTGCGCTCCCAAAAAAACAACTTCGAAAAGCGGAGAAAAGTTTCCCCTCTCTGGGTACGAATACTGGGAACATATTCCACCCCTCCATTGGAACTTTATCAAATCCTAACAAGTGCCATGCCCCAAAAAACATGCTCTCCATCGAAATGAGAGTCCTCTGGCAGAACTCTCTTGGTGTAGGTCGTAAACAGCTGCAGCTGATGCGGTCGCCTGGGTTCTTCTTCGGTTGCCAGCAACAACTTAGATGGAGTGTACGAAGCGGGGTGGAGTAGGGCTGTCCACTTTAACGAGCGCACCTGACCAACTGCAGCTTATGTGTTCAGGTTACTTTACCCTCCTACACACACACACAAAGACACACACACAAACACCCATACGAGTGAACTCTTACGGGAAGAAAGATTTATATTTTGTCACACTTACTTCAAACGACTTTGGCTGCCACTTGTTCTGCGGTCTATGGCAGGATGAAGATGGAGATGGAGAAAGAAGGAAAGAGAAAGGTTAGAGAGAGAGAGCGCTTGATTTTCGTACCATTGGTTGTTCCATCGTCCTGCCATCAGGCATCGTCAACTATATCGTTTTGGTCGCTCCGTCCTCAGTCCTCTGTCCTATGTCGCTCTGTCCTTTGGGACTGCAGTCAGCAACATTTACTTGGCTAGCATTACCTTTCAGCTCTGGGGCCGTGATGGAGCACCCAAACAGGCAGCAGTTACTGCACGATGGCCACGTGAGTCACGCGACCTTCTCTGGTACTCTGATGCGCTTTATAATGTGCATTTCGCCTTGGCTGCTGCCACACCTGAGTGACTTTAAGCTGTGCCAGTCGCGACGTATGGCGTCGGTAATGATGGTTTTGGCCAATGTTCAGCGTGGCTTATATATGTATATGGTCTCCCCCGTGAGCATTGATATCCATCCTTACTCCTTCCTCTGTACGCAGTGCACTCTCTCCCTGCTACTTTTTATGTGTGGGTCTGCCACTTTTCACGTTTTCCCTCGTTTTCTCTTTTTTTTTTTTTTTGTTTCGAATGGGGGCACATGACTCAATTATGTTGGATTGACATTTCGCAAAGGTTTTTCATCAATCAAGTGTGCTTTTTATACATTACTCTGATACTGCTGCTGCTGCTGTGGCTGCTCCTGCTGCTGCTTGTTTTTGGTGCAACGCGGCGTATACGTAATGGCTAACAGCAATTGCTAACATTGCCATTGCAATTTATCGTTTCGTGTGTGCGTCTGAATGACCTGAGGAAATAGTTCTACCCACCATTCCATTTGACTATATTTATATACTGCTCTTTCGCATTGGATTTAATTTCGATTGCATCTCTGGGCCAAGGCAATTTATTCACATTGCCGCAATGATATATGCACTTTGACGAATGCTGTGCTGGAAACTTAAAGGCACTGACTTAAATATACGAATAAATACACTTCTGTTTACGTTTAAATATTTATTAAATTTCTCACGTAAACCATTAAATTTTCATAATTCATACAAATTTTTGAGCGCAAAAGCCGAAGACGAACCAACCATCAGCTTTGCTGACAACTCCACAATGACTTTTCTTCGCTTTCAACCCTGAAGGTTAACCCCACACCCCAGCTGCCACCCCCTAACTGGCAAGATATTGTTACCTAAACAAACAGAGGGAAAGGAAAACGGGAAAACGGGAAAAACCGGAAGGGAAAATGCAATCACCTGTAACACAAAACTGAATACACAAACAAAACGAAAGGGGCGAAAGGAAATATTTATGCCAGACTTTGATGTTGCCAATTGAAGAAGCCATTGGGCGGGGTCTGGGCTGTGGCTGGGGGTGCTGGGGTATGAGGGGCCAAATTGGTGTAAACGTTCCGTTTTAATGCCTTGATTATGCTACAATTGGGGGAGAAAAATGTAAAAATTAAATGGCAGCTGAAGCGATTTCGGTGTCTGAAAGAGAAGAAGTTTCTCCCCTTCGATTTTCCACTTTCCCAATTCCGCTTTTTGTGTTGCTTATTTATGCACATTGCCTGTGCCGATTTTTTCTTCTCTTTTTTGTTTTTCTGTTTCACTTCACATTTAGGCGGAGAAAGAGTTAACCAACGTTTATTGTGGCCCTCTTGTGCTGGAAATCGAAATGAAAACTGTCTTGGATTGTGTTAGGCTGGTGGCTAAATGGAGGTGCAAGGAGTGTGACTGGGCGGCAGTTCCATCCTGCCATTTCCTTCTTTTGTTGGGCAAAGTCTATGCCTTGTTCTAGTTGGGTCTTCGCTTGCAGTGGGATTGAATGAGTGAATGAATGAAAGGA